CAAAGCAAGCAAAACTCAGCTGAGCGTCCTTCGGTACCTGCAGAACCTCTCAGCTGACTTCTGCATCTCTCACTGTACTCTGAAGAAGCAGCACAGCTAAGAACTACTGCCAGGGCATCGCTTGCAAGGACTATGTGCAATTTTAATGAAGGCCCCTAAGCCTAATGGTGGTAATAAATGATGGTGCTATTGCTGAGGATATGCAAAGGATCTGGTTTGGCTCTTAAGATTTCAGACCAAGTTCACCCAACATGAAAGATGGGAAAAAAAGTTACCCAACAGCATTAAGTTGAGACAAGTCTCAAGTTCTAAGGCTCTGAATGAGGCAGAGAGCTGCTAATCCATTTCAGAATTAATCAGAATTTAGATGGTAGAAGAACAAGCACTGTTAGTGGGTATCGTGGTAATACATTTTATTATTCTTCGTTGGTAAATATTAGTATGTGCCATAATTGTGCTGATGGGTGGTAAATAGCTCAAGATCCTAAAGGTTAATGATATTTAAATTCCAGAAGTGTAAGCACTTATTCATGCAATTTACACAGACAGCATTTGCTCGGAGTACCTATACCTTCGAGCAGGCAGCTCTTTTTAAAACAATAACAAACACTGCTGATTAGTGAAGAAAACCTAGGTTAGGAAGGTCCACCACTTCAAGAAGCCTGAGTACATGGCTAGTGCTGCAGAAACATGGGACCACAGGCTGCTGAAGAGCTATGGCCACTTCACAGCCAGTGAGGGTCAGTTCCTGGATCTGCTCCTGGCTCAGCCAGTGAATACCTCTGTGCCTACAAGAGACTGCTCCATCTCTTTGTGTCTCTCTGGCTGCCTCCAGAGCAGGCAGATGGTCACACCCAGCCTTCTTTGGGATCTGCAGATAGAAACTGCCAACAGAATTAAGTGTAAAGACAAACAAATGGATGTTAACCCAAGAGTTTGTATAGTTTATTTTGAAAGCCTTTCTAGGACTCTTCTGCTATCCCATGCCCTCAAGATGTGGCAAACCAGGAAACTTTGCTTTGGTTATCATCTGTTGCAACAAAGATTTCTTGCTCCCTGCCCTACCCACGCTTTCAGCTGGCTCTTTGTAAACCCACCACCATCCCACCCGAATCCCCACATGCCGAATTGCTTTACAGTTCCCGTTCCACTTGTTCTGCTCACAATCCTCTCCTTGTCCGGCTCCCCAGGTAGCTGACTTTAACATGACTGCCCAGCTGCTCTGCAGCCTCCCCGCGCCCCAGATTTCCGCTGCTCTTTTCAGGGCCCCTGTAGAAGGCCCGGCTCACAGATGCACTATACAGGCCAAACAACAGGATGTTGTAAAGGTCCAACCACTGTGTGCTTTTCATATGGATATGCTAATGGCCATACTATCAGCACAGGGCTGTAAATGCAAATAGCAGAGCTGGGCTTGGGCATCTTTTATGGGTGTTTAACCACCTTCTGTCTTACAAGGGACCAACTCCCTATTATTTGGAAGATAAAAAGCGAATAGCTCACCTCATGCCAATGCTGTATAAATCAATTAAGACAATAAGAGCACAGTATAGAGGTGCTGTTAAGGCTGGCTCCAACAGAAGGCTTTAAGTCACTGATGGCTTTCTCATCTGCCCCAAATGGCAGCCAGTATCTGCCAGCTATCTGCAGAGAGGTGTGTTTCATTCAACTCCATTACAACTCATTTACAACAAATGCATGCCACAGCAAACTAAGCAGCCAGGAAATGTGGTGGGTTAAAAGTTTCAAAGGGCCAAATGATCCTAACAACACATTTTTGGATTGTCTGGTCACGTACCTCTCCAATATCCTCACCCGCAATGAACTAGAGCAGTCCCTGCTGGGTTTCTGTGTGTTTTGGCACCCTGGGTTCTGGGTTAAAACAGTGGTGCCAAGGCCCTTTGCCACACAGATACCTGTCTGCCATGGTTTGGCCAAGCATCTGAAGGATCCAGATCCACCTTAGTGCTACTTGAGAACAGAAGGACGTGCCCTCCGTACAACAAATACTTCCATGGTTCATTCCTTTGCTCCCTATTCACCCATTTCCATCCAGTGCATACTGAATTATTTCATTGGTAAAAACTGCATGTGCGTTAGGAATAAAACACTCTCCGTTGTCATCACAAGTAACATCAGCTTAGACAGTGAGCCATTCCTTGGGTGAATCTCTAAAGTACAGACAATTGTGTTACTGAATGTCATCCTGGTCAGGGCATTTCAGAGCCCATCAGCTTCTTTGGTGTTTTTTTCACTCCATCTGACTGTACTGAAAGCTAAAACCAAAAATAAGTGAGAAACCCGACTCCCTGCAGCCATCATAAACATAAGGCAGACTGAATTCTGCTGGCAGAAATTACACTGCTACTCTCTGAAATGCTAACTGAAATAACTGCACAGCAGAATTTTGCTGAAAACAAGAAAAATCACACAGCAAATACAGGTTTAGAGGAGCTGAAATGACTTCAGCCATATGAAAACAACAGCAAATGAAAATATTTACTTATATTTTTTATTGTTGTGTAGTATACATCGTTACATGAAGTTAATTGCTGTAATGGTGTGGGAGATGATGCAGGAAGACAACAGGTCAGCCACCACTTTGGGAGAGTTCATATCCACGGTATGAACCAACGTCAGAATGGTGTTTGAGAATCATAGTGGACTTGTGAAATATATAAATGTGCTGAGAAATTTTAGATACATCTCTTTGCAAAAGATTGTATCAAAGAGAACTAGTTATAAAGTTCCTAGCTGTCTGCACTTACGACTTCTTAATTGATAAAAAAAGGAATTAATTAGAAAAGAGCCACTTTTTGCTTTAATCCATCTGCATGGAACCACCGAGCCATATTGTGACACGGACACTGATATTAATGATCAACTCGTAATAGGATAATGAGTGAATAAGGATTTTATGTGGTGTGAGCTACAACAATTACCAACCTGATAGGGAGATAAATAAGGTTACTCAACTTTACCCACAGAAAATGATCATTCTTACCCACTTGCACTGAATGACCTGAACAAAACATGCTTTTTCTTTTTGCTTCCTGATGCCTTTCAGTGGTCATTTGGGCTGTCTCCAATTGCCACAGATAGAACCTCTTGTTGACACATCTAGCAGACCAGGTATACCAACACTTGCCTCCCTGTTCCTAGCACACTCCTTAAGAAGTAAGTGTGGTGCTTGGATCTGGGTGTCTCCACACAGGGCAGTGGGCAAAGTGCTGCACACAGAGGCACCACACTGTCCCGAACCTGAACCCCAACCCTTCTCAACACATCCTGTCCAATTCAGCATCTCCAAACCCTCCTCAAAGATGCCCTAAAGCCCCCTCTGCATCAGGTCAAATTAGCTGCTGAGATGCAGAAATGCCTAACGAGAAACAGGGGCCCAGATACTTCCAGCATTTTCAAGAGAAAGACAGTAATATCTTGTATTTAGCCCAAGGCCAGAGCTTGCGTGTTGTTTCAGCAGCGCATTTCTGGCATTGCCGTAAGTTAAATTGCAGTGTATGTTGCCTCCATATGGGAGGTTTCAGCAAATGCAGTGACACAGTTATTAAATAACAGTCCGCAACCTGATGGAAAATAAAGTTTAAAAACCTAGGGGAAACAAACAATATGTCAAAAACATCTGGGGAACTGTGATGCAGATATTACTAATATGTCTTGGTTTATAAGGAAATGATCTGCTTGCAGACAGTAATTATATGGTTGTTGCTATTTATGTTTACTATGGCCATGCCTGAATGCCTCAGCTATGATCAGGGCTACCCTGCACAAACTCAGCATAAGAGAGAAGCCCCTGAAGCACTTAAAGTCTAAAGAAACAAAGGAATAAATCCCCCCATTTACCAAAGGGGCAACAAGCCACAGGAGAACAAAATCATTTTGTCACAGCCATGCAAAAAAATTCTGGCAGAAGGAATCAAGCAGTTTCTCCTCAAGATAAAGGAGCCTACAGAGGATACAGAAAATAAAGCAAAATTAGCCTGTGGCTCTGATGGCAGGCATGTGCATCCTTCCTCTTTCTGAGCAGAACACCTGGCTTTTTTGACCATCTCCTGCAGCCACCAGAGAGGTAACGGAGTCAAGCTGCCCCAAGGGAGGTTCAGCTTGGTTGTTAAGAACCATTTATTCTCTGAAAGAGCAATGATGCAGTGGCACAGCTGCCCAGGGAGTACTGGGGTCACTGTCCCTGGAGGTGTTCCAGAGTCATGGGGATGTGGCACTGAGGAACACGGGCAGTGATCATGGTGGGGTGGGCTGGGGTTGGGGATTTTAGTGGTTTTATCCAACTTTAATGATTCTATGATTCTTCCTCCTGGGCAATTGACAGAGAAGCCGGGAGCCCAGGCAAAGTAATCAGAAAATGCCAGTCAAGGAGATGTGACAGAGTGCTGTCGCAGGAAGGTGATAGAGTGTCTTATCCTGGAAGATGGAGAGCAGGAGCTGCTCCTTCATGGGCAAACTGACTGTCAGCCACAGCTTCAGCAGGGAAATAATGTCATCAGGAGGATTTGGGTGAGATGAGAAGGGAAGCCAGGGAAGTTTAATTCTGGCAGAGGTCGCACCCAGCAGCACACGCCTCTGCCCTCAGCAAACAGGCTGCTCTACACCTGAGGAGAAATAAAAGCTTTTATTTTACTGTAATCTTTTCCTCCTAGGGTCTACTCTGAATCCCAGATCTGCATCCCAACAACAGAAAAGCGAGGGAACACACTGCAACCTCGCGTACAGCAAACGCAGAGACAATATTTACATTGAAATAAACAGAGCCCAGTGCCACACCTGCCCCCAGGACACACCGACCAGCTCACCAAGTTAATTAGCTGAACGAGGCCACTACCTGCCCAGCAGCCCTTTGCACGACCTTTGACCTTCACCCAGCTGAACGCAAAGTGCACGCAGCCCCCCCCATCACCCCCAGCATTCACCTCATTGCGACCCCCACCCCACACTGCACAGAGTCGGGCTGGCAGGGTCTCACGTACCTCCGCACGGCCTCGGCCGAGCCGGCGATGGGCACCCCGCCGCCCTCCCCGCCGCTGTCGTACAGCACCCCGCTGATATCCAGCAACAGCCCCCGCACCGCCCGTGCCCAGGCCGCCATGTCGGCACCGCCTCGCTGCCCCGGGGGCTGTCGGGAAATGGAGTCTGAGCGCGGCGAGGCGGCCTGAAGGGAGCGGGGGATGGATGTTACAAACAGCAGGGAACAGTGTTGTTTTCTCTGAGTTGCGCTGCTTCTGTCAGCTCTGAGTGTCTCACGCTGTCAGGAGAGCGGCCTGGGCTCTGCTATGGGTCTGCCTGCTGACCCGCTCTGCTTACCCCCCCTCATGCAGTTCCCCCTCACACGTGAGCACAGAGGCACAGAACCAGATAGGTTGGGTCCAATACAGCAAGTTCGCTCTGCAGGCTCCCCAGACGTCTTGGAAGATCCATGCAAATAGGAGCATGGACCTGGAACGCAGGGACCCCCTGTGATGGGGATGGCTGTGCTGGCCCAAGGGACCCTCTCCAGCCCGGTGATGGATGCGTGGCCTTGCTTGCCCCAAACATCGCCTCTGTGGCACCTCCTCACATGTGCTCCAAGAGAAATAACTGCCTCGTCATGTAAAAAACTGAACAGGTCCCCTCTTTTTTACAGTCAGACAAGATTTTATCAGCACTGTTGCAGGTTGCTCTGTTTCTCCCTCGATGTTGTCGAAATGCTGCCTTATTGCTAATATTATCGATAGCAGAACGCATCACAAGGTGCGCTGGAACCACAGTCCACTTTGTTTTAAGGAAAGCAGAGGAGCCTTGGCAGCATTGATTTGCATCGCCGCGTCTGGAACAGCCTTTGGCTTCTCCTTAAAGATATTATCTAAACTGTGAAATTCACTAAATAGACCCAGAAATGGATCAGGTTATTTAAAACAACATCACTAATGGCGCAATATCTCAGCTGTCTACGCTGATAGCGAACATTGTCTCGGATAGTGTTATCAGCCCAGGACACCCGCTATGAATATTGATCCGCAGCTTGTTACAGCCATCACTGCCGACAGGACAGGTCAGGGTTGAAACCCACCCAGCATCAAAGCAATTTAAAGACAGCACTCAGGCTGAATTTTAATGCTTGGGCTGGAAAGCAAACCAACTTCAAACAGACTGCTAAAACCAATCCATGAACGCGTGCTTTTTGTGTGTGCCTTCCATGGGCATGTCTATTTGTAGGTCAGCCTCCATGCACGTGCTAACCTGATCATATTTGAAGATGTCTGCTTGCCCACAAATTAATCCCAGCACTACAATTTACCTTTTAAACTTCTGCAGTTGCAATAACTCAGAAGCATTTATATTCTCACCATAAATCTGGTCAATTTTTTTTCCTTCCAAAAATGAAACATCTCCAGTGCTGCAAAGGGTGACAGGATGCGCCATCCCTGCAGGCATTCAAGGCCAGGCTGGATGTGGCTCTGGGCAGCCTGGTCTGGTGGTTGGTGACCCTGCACATAGCAGGGGGTTGGAATTGGATGAGCATTGTGGTCCTTTTCAACCCAGGCCATTTTGTGATTCTATGATCCTTAAAATACAGTCAGCAATACATCTATCTACCAGATCATCATACCTGTGCTTTTTCAGGGTACTTTGATACTGGTGACAAACAAAAAGAATCTTGTTCAAAACCATACTTAGAGGATATGCAAGAATATTTCATATTCATTTCCATTATTTGACCTCACCCTGGACCTACACTATCCAGAAATGGGGAACTTTTCCCTTTCCTTTTGCACCTCAGGCAACTTCATCACTTTGACACATGAGAAGCACTGAGCAGCACCCAGCAGAATGATTTCCACCTCAACCCTAGGGTCATTTTTATGCAGGATGCATCCATGAAACTAAGCTTCATTGGTCTGCAGCTTCAGTGCATGAACTGTCCAGGACAGAGATAACTTCTTTTCTGAATGTGTGTGATATCCCATACCAGAGCCCAGTGTCAAACACTCTCTCAGGTACTGCCACCACATAATTGACCAAAGAAATTACTTGTAATCATGTCTCCCTGCACACCTTTATCTCATCTTCCAGCTCCTTATTATCTCAAGACCCATGCCTTTGCAATAACAAAAAGAAATCCCAACTCTATCATCTTTATTCCTATTCTGCAGCACCTGTTACCATTGAGCAGCACGTTATTTTTACCTAGTCAGATTCCCACAGACAGGCAGAGAGTGGGAGCACTCCCTTTCCTGCTGCATAAAGTCTTTGTCTACACCTCACCCTGATGTGCAGCACCAACAAAACGCAGAACTTCTAAGGGGAGGGGACAGCATCCTCCTCAAAGTCTGCAGGACAGCACTACGTTGCTAGGAAGTTTTAAATAAAGGTCATGAGAGTGGGGCAGGGTGGAGAGACCTGACTTGCTGTTGCTCATCTTACCTCTGCTATAAGGATAAGAGGTGATGGGGCACTTCCATGCCAGGTGACAGTTCTCAGTCAAGGGCTGCTCGGGGGGGCAGGCGTCCAGCATGGCTGTACCTCAATTTCAATCAATCACCCCCACCTGTGAAATGGGGCCGATGCACACGCCAGGGCTGAACTCCAGGAGTCAGGGCCAGCCCTTGAACTACCCGGACCTTGAGCTGACCTCAAACCAACCGAAAACGAGAAGATGCTAATTTGCGAAGATGCTCACTGAGGACCAAAGCTCAATTTTACACCCAAAACAAAGGCCGCTGGGCAGAGGCAGCGCACCGAGCCCCTGCTCTCCTCATCACAGGGTTCACCCGGGAGCAACCACGCGTGGATCCCCCCGGGCCGCACCGCGGGGCGGCGATGATGGTGGGGGGCGGCGCCGGCTGCGCCCCCGCGGAGCGGAGCGCGGGGAGGGCGCGGGGCCGCGTGCCAATGGCTGCTCTGCCCCCTCCTCTACCCCCACCCCGCCGCCCGCTCTCCTCCTCCCCGCCGCTCACTCCGCGTCTCCAGCGCCCAGGCGGAGGTTCCGCGAGGAGGCGGCGGCGGCGGCGGCTCCGCGGCAGCGCTGCCCTCCGCCCGGCCCCGGCCCCGCGCTGGCACCCGCGGCTCTCCGGCAGCGCGGAGCGGGGGATGCTGGAATGCCCGGACGGTGGGGCCAAGGCGGCCCCCGTCCAGCAGCATAAGATCTCCTTCTCCATCCTAGACATCCTGGATCCTCAGAAATTCACCCGGAGAAGCGAAACGGCCGCGGGGAGCGGCGGCAGCGCCTGCCGCTCGGGAGAGCAGGAAAAAAGTTTGGCGAGAGTTGAAGTAGGAAAAGGCGCTGCTCAGCACGAGAGCGAGAGGAATAAACTAGAGGCGGATGGTAGGAACGCGTTCGAGTTTCTCTGTTCGGCGCTGGCGGGGCGAGCAGGTGCCGGCAGCCGGGGAGCATCCCCCGAGTCCGGACAGCTGCGGGGGGGTCGGGCTGCGGACCGCCGTCCGTCGGGAGGGAGGCGAGGCGGGGGGAGAGGGGGATGCAGCCCCTTTCGAGTCTCGAAGATAGAAAAGTTCCCCCCCGGGCAATCCTCCTGCTGCGCCCCGCGCGCACCACGACGTCGCCAGGCCCCAAATGGAAGCGTCCCTGGGCCACCCTTCCCCGGGCAGGGAGGGGGTCCCGGTCCCGATGCCGATCTACGCCCGCTGTTCGCCGACTGCCCCCCCCCGCACCCGGGACAGCCGGCTGGGTAATTGCTCAGTCCGTCCCCGCTGGAGGATGCCTTAGCTCCCATTGATCGATATCCTATTACTGACTCCCGCCTATCTCCTGCCCACAGCTTGCAGGTACCCACTTCAAACCTCCTTCCCCCGGCCTGATCCTAATATTGTTCGATTAAAACTTACCTTTAATAGATGACATCTATCGATCCGGCCCTCGCAAATCTGAAACTCCATTAGCACGGAGATGGGGAGGTGGGGGGAGGGGATTTATTTCGCTTCAGAAGGGGACTTTAATAACTTCTTTTTTAATTGGTAAGAAATCCATATCCACACCTCCCTGTAAATGAGCCGCCGTGGCTGGGGTTGCCGGCCGGATTTTTTTCTCCTTTTATTTAACGACCGTTAAATCTCGGCCCGGGGAGGGACGCGGAGGGAACGGCTCCTCGCAGCGTGGGGCCGAGGGGGGGCTCGGAGCGGCTCCGCAGTGCCCCCCTGACCCCGCCGCCCTCTCCCATAGATGCGCGCACCCCGACGGAGAGCGGCGCGGAGGCAGCGGTCGAGGAGGGGCAGCCAGCGGCCGGCGCCGGCTCCTCTTCGTGCTCCGCAGCCACGGGGCCGGAGGAGCCGGGCTCGCCGCGAGGCGGCCGACGGCGTCGGGCAGAGGCGAGCTGCGCCAAACCGCGGCGAGCGCGGACGGCTTTCACCTACGAGCAGCTGGTGGCTTTGGAGAACAAATTCCGCGCCACCCGGTACCTGTCTGTGTGCGAACGCCTCAACCTGGCGCTCTCCCTCAGCCTCACCGAGACGCAGGTGAAAATCTGGTTCCAGAACCGTCGCACCAAGTGGAAGAAGCAGCATCCCGGAGCCGACGGAGCTGCCGCCTCCGCTCCCCCCGCCGCCGCCCGCTGCTCCCCCAGCCCGCCGCGCCCCGCAGCGCTGCCCGGCCAGACTTTCCCCTCGTACGCCGCCGCCAGCGCTCTCTTCCCGGCCGCCTCTCCCTTCCCCCTGGGCGGCCCCGGCGGCGGACCCTTCGCTCCCTTCTTGGGGCCGGCGTACCTCGGGCCCTTCTATGCCCCGCACCTCTGAGAGCCTACCCCGGGTCTGTCCCAGCGCTCCCGAGGGTGAGGAATCGGGTTTTTCTTCTCCAGCTCGCTTCGACAAAGAGACAAAATACCCACATGCTGTAACCACAGGATTTTATTAGCACGTTTGATATGTAATTATAGGAGATGGAGAGAGTAACCCTCTTTACACACGCCTGACTCTTAGTTCTTCTCCAAGTTTCTCTTTCCAACGTTCCTCGTTGCCATCTGGCTTGCCAGCACACGCCTCAGCCCCAGGGAGCTCGGAGCTGCCACACTTTGTTCCCACTGCTGCTGTCCTGGTGCTGCTGACCACACTCAGCTGGTCCGATTTCACACACGGAGACGTCCACGACTTTTGCTGCTCCGGGGACTGGTGCATGACTCATTTATATCAGATTTCAGATCCCAAACCTGCAAGCTTGGTTACCTGCTAAGAGTTCTCTCTTCTGTGCCATCAGGCGATGTGCAGAGTCCGCTCGGGCAGTGGGAAAGTATTTGATTGCTGCTAATATGCATCGCCCCTCTGTCTTGCGTTTCACTTCATCCCCATTGACTTCAAAAGTTTGAGATGAGTTGTCCAAAGATCATTCCTTTTGCAGAGAACGGTTGTTCTTGGAACAACAGTGCCAAATGAGGCACAGTTGAAAATGTAAATCAGAGACAATGATTGCAATATTCATTTCTTTAAAAATGGGGCATTTGTGGTAGAAAATAAGGCAAACACAGAATTTCCCGCATGCAGAGACCTATTTTCTGTACCAGAGAAAAAAATGCGTTTTGGTGCTCTTTTGTGTTTTTTTTTTGTTTTTGCCTTCTGAAGCATTTCTTAGAAAGGAAAATCGTATTTCATCTTCATTGTTATGAGCATCGGAATGAAAAGGGACTTTAGCTGGGGGCTGCTCCCTCCTTTAATGCTGGGAAGTCATTGGTTTAAAAATAAATCCGCCTCGTGCGGCTTCACAAATTATTACAACCCATGTGCATCCCCTCGGTCACATCACGATGCTTTCAAGTACGCGTTGGCTCTCCAACCAAAAATCTGAGCTCATTAATCCTATCTATCTCTTGTGTTTGTCTAAATAAAAAGGTTGTGCTGTTTTTCTTTTTTATTATTATTATTATTTTTTTTTCTGTTTTTGAAGTTACCCTGTGTTTGTTTGTAATTGTGCTCGGACAGAGTGGTGTTTGCATTCCTCTGTGGGATTTTTAGGTTTCTTGAGCCAAGGTGCCCTGCAAGGCTCAGTGCAGGAGAGCTGAGGTCCTGCTGTTACCTTCCCATGCCCAGAAGGAGGCAATCTGTGTCTTCCCAATTATTGGAATGCTGTTAACAAAGCACAGGGTTTGCCGCAGGTCATGACTTTGGAAGTCACAACTCTGCTTTATGAGTATGTTTACTCGTTGCTTAATTGCAGTAACATTTTCACTCCGATTGGGTATGAATTACAGTTGCAGCAGCTCATCCCTGAGCTCCATCCGTGCTCCTGACTGGGAGAAACCAGACCGAGATCCTCTTGGCCTCCTGGCAGCCCACTCCTCGGGGCTCACATCGCTGTGTGTGCAGACACCTCTCTGGGTTTCCTTTGTCACTGAGATGTTCCTAGAGCACGGGCCCGCTGCTCACCCGCACTGCTCTGAGATCTTGGGGAGAAGTTCTTCTGCCCTTGCCCTTGTGATATGGTCAGCTCTCCTCCTTAATGAGTGTAAATTGTAGAAAAACCAGAGAAAGTTACACATTAAAAAATGCAGCAGTATAACTTGGTGTGCAATCTTGATGTCTGCAAGCATTTTAAAGGCTTTTGCCTTTAGCTTTATGAGAAATCTGAACACTTGATTGCTGTGCAAGAAAAGCCAGCCTTTCCCCCGACCCCATTCAGTCATATCTACTGCTCTGGGTTGATGAAAAAGTTTTACATTTAGTTTCAGAGAACACATCACAATTCCTATGGTGTATCACTTGCACCTTCTCCTTGTGCACGGCAGTGGCACTGCAGACCTCACAGCGCTGGCCCCTGGCCACCAAAACTCCTGGCTCAGCTCTGGCCAAGCACTCACGCTGATGTGTCCCTCCTCTTGTCCCGTGTCCCTTGGCTGGTGACCCCTTTGGCTTCTCTTTGTGACTGGCCACTACTGTGGCTGTGATTCAAACCTCAGCCCTGGAAACAGCAATTGCTGCAGAGCTCTGGACTGCCCAGATTGTGCTATTCGCACCAGTAACACTTTTAGAAGTGCCCCACTGAGTATCCATTATCTCTAGCAGTTCTGAATACGGAGTTGTGCAATATTATCAGCCGTAGACAAAAATTGACTTTGCTCACAGCTGAATATAGATGTTAAAGAGAATCACAAGTAAGACCCATGTGTAAACTGCAAAAATCGCATCTATGTGTTAATTTAGAAGTTTTGAATTAAAATGCTCCAGAGAAAACAGGAAAGTTAGTGGCTAATCTCATTCCCCTTGTATCGACTGTAACAACAGCATGGGCAGTGAGCAAGGCCAGCTGCTGGGCATGTTTGGGTCATGCATCCCCATGTAAGGCTTTGCTCACTATCTTGATTTCTATTCCAGAACACAGCATAGCAGCTAGGGCACCAGCCTGAAATCCTTCTCCTGCCGTGGCAAATGTGTGGTGCTTCATAGGGAAACAAGAGAGCATCTGCTGTGCTTCAGCAGTGCAAGTTGGTGTGTGGATAAAGGAAAACTTTTGACTCACACAATGTTCATCTTTGGACCAAAAAAAAGTAAGTCTTGTTTTTTTTACTTTCTCTGCACAGGGAACAAAAATATCAGTGGTCCAAGCACAAAAGCACTCTGGTAATCAACTTCATTTAACTCGTTAATGAACAAAGTATCTGGGGGACAACCATGACCAAAGCTAGGGAAATGTTGGAAACGTTTGTTTAACTGGACTTCTAGGAAACAAACAAACAAACCGTTTCATAAAGTTGGGTTGAAGCAGTGATGGAGCACCTGGTGGAAGGCAGGGCCAACCCAGGTCAGCTCAGGTGCATGCAATGCAGTGCAATGACCAGAAGGGCTGGAGCCAGGATTCACCCCTTCCCAGACCTCATTTAAGGGTTGGTGGTGGAGCTGAATGTTTCTCTTGCTGGAGATTCCTGCCTATGTGGGGCTTTCTGAAGGTAAGCAGCTTTTTTTTCCCTTCATTTTTGCATCTGTAGCCGTAGTATTTGGGCTTGTCTTCATTTGCTGTAGCTGAAGACTTTGCCACCCTGTTATTATTGCAGTACTTTCTGTCCCATTACATCATTACACTAGTTAAACCTACTGAAAACAGGAAGATGAAATACACCTATTGAAATGTCAGTGTCCAAGCATTTTTAGTGAAGAAAATCAGTATTTATTATGCAACACAAAGCTTTAGGAAATGTAGCTGAAGTATAGTTGCTGCCTAGCAGCCTCTTCCTTCTTTCTCTTTCATTTTATCCTGCTCTATCTTTTCCTTATTTGCTTTCTTAAGTTATTACATACTGGAATGTGTATAGTGAGTGCTTAGCTCTCTACATGCAGGTCTTGGAGCTGAGGATGGATTTCAAACCCCTGCTCTACACATGTGGACTTTTCCTCCCCAGCTCAAGCAGACCAATGGATCCCGGCAGGCCCCACAGGACCCCTCTGTTCAGTGTGGGGCAGATGATGCACAGGGAGGTGGCTCTGGTTGTTCCTTTAATCAGCTGCTAGATGTGTTGCTATCAGTCTCCTTAGGCTGAACTCCTGCCAGGAGTTTTTCTGTCTGTTTTGCATGAAGCAGTCCGAGCCTCCTTCACAGATGTGGGGAATCTCGTTCTACGCTATTCTCCAGGATGTATGTATGGTTCAGCAACATGGTATGTGCAAACTCAGCCTTGGTCCTCCTGATCCATCAGCTAAACTCTTTTTGTTACTTACCTCATTTCATAAACCACTGTTTTGTTGAGCTGTTCTATATGTAAAACTATGGGTACCGTAACTGGCAACCTGCCTGTCCCACTGCGCATTCAGGAAAGCAGTGAAAGTTGAGGTACCCTGTGTTTATTGCAGACCTCACAAAACCCATAGCTGGTCTATCATCAACCTGCAACGTGTCCAGGTGGGTCAGGGGAGGTCAAGCAGCATTGCTTCGGCCTCATATACTGGACAGGAATGTGATTAAAGTCTGATTCCAGAAGCTTTACAGCTTGCAGGCAAATCAGACGTCTAGCAAAATATTTGGTGGGTGAAATCCTTCTGAAGAACAATTGATAACAGGCCTCTTGCATAAGTAGACCTGAACACATGTTCGTTTTCTCTAATGATCCCATATCAGCTAAAGTCACCTTGAGCAGACTTTTATGGCAGTTTCCTGGCATGGAGAGCTCATGGTGTGGGACTGATATCTGGTGGTGTGTTCAGTAAAAGTTTCTGCGAGATAATGTGTGTGTCCCAAATTTACAAGCTGTGTGTCACAGATTTCCTTTTGCCTCCCATGTATCATCTTACACCTTTGCTCTCATATGGACTTTTCCTCCCCATAGAGCAGCTCTGTGTTCTGCAGCCCTATGGCTCTGCGATTCCTGCAGCTCATGGCTCCACAGTCTCTGCTATTTGCTTATTACTGTACCACAGATATTAACCTTAATTTCTCCTGTATTTTCCTCTTTAAACACTGAAGAGCTCCAAAGCCAGCTTCTTTCCCAAGTTAATCATCATATTTTCTTCTCCTTAGAATACCACATGATGAATTGTAATTAAAAAAACATGGTATTTCATGTGGCTTAGGCATGTCATAACACTACAGTGGGATTCAGTGGCATTCAGGCTTTTTCACCTCTCTGATACACTGAAACACTTTCAAAGACATCATATCTGTGTACAAATCCAATACAAATAAAATATTTTACTCCTTTGAAAGTCACACTACTGATCTATCGTGGTGGCTTTCATCAGAGAACTTGCTCTGGTGCTATTTAAAGAAGCAGTGATTTTCTTTCTTTCTTTCTTCAAAATGAGAGTATATACAAAGATGCATGGGCTTTGCAAGGTGGGAGCCTCACAAGACATTGGGTTCTGCATCTGTGGCTCCTCAAGCACCTGGCCCAGCACTCTGTGAGTCACACAAGGTGAACTCTTGTCCTCTCAGGT